TGTGTGTGTGTGTGTGTGTGTGTGTGTGTGTGTGTGTGTGTGTGTGTACACGCAAGAGAGAGAAAGAGAATAATAAAACTTTTTCTTCCCTAGAATGTTCATACTGTGGAGCCCCGTGGGACCAATATAAACTCTGTTCTACTCCCCAGTGCCGCCAGCTTGTTTTGACCTGTTCTGCCTGTCAAGGACAGGGATTCACAGCCTGTTGTGTCACGTGTCAAGACAAAGTGGGCAAGCAGGCTTCAGGTCCCGCCCAGGACAGTTTCAAAGAAGAGTGTGAGTGTACAGCAGGGAGGCCGCGCATCCCACAGGAGCAGCGTGCGTGATTTCCTGTGAGCCCGGAGCCAGGGCCTGGTGCTGGGGAGGCTGAGCGGCATCTTCCAAGCATTCCCTGAGCTTTACAGTGCAGGCTTAAGTGGCCCTGTGCAGATTGTCATGGTTGTAGAAACAAAGTTAGGAACATCCATGTTGGTCCCTGCCGCCATAGCAGACGGCCACAGGCAAAGGCGACAGGGAGTCCAGTGCTGGCTACTGTCGACCCATTTGATTCAGAAGATGCTAGAAAGAAAGTGAGCCATGGGGTCCCAGGGGTGCTGAGGGGTAGAGCCTTGAGCGCAGTGGCTGCATCATGTGTTCTCTGCTGTGCAGCAGGCAGTCGTCATTGTTCTTGTCCACAAACTCTTTTAACCTGGCAGCAAAAGGATGGACCCTCAACAGTAGGGCCCTGGGTATGGACTCTTAAACCAGGCCAGCTGCCATCTTCCCTCCCCTGCGTCAGCCTCTTCCCTGGCTACCTGAAGAGGTCTGTAATCTGTGGCACTGACTACCCTCTGCGTTCAAGTGTTTACTCAGTCAGCCTGGCCCGTTTTTCAACAATGTGATCATGGCACTGCTGGGTAATTGGCCAGAGACCGTGTGGCCCTCAGAATCTATCTACACTCTGTCCCTACAGAAAAGGCTGGCTCCTGGTCAGACTGACAGCTCATCGCGCAGAGGTGTTCTCACAGGTGTCCACACTTGTATTGATTTGATTTCTTGAAACATGTCCGCCTAGCACCCCTGCATCAGCCAGCATTCCCTCTCTCAGCGTCTGAGTGTCTGTAGGGATCCAGGGGAAAAGCAGGCTTCATGTCAGCACCTGGGACACAAACACTTTCCTTAGTGAGGTCATCCAGCATGGTAGCTATCCAGCCTTCTGGCTTTGGGCACATGTCCCTATCACACGATTCTGAAGAAGCACACAGAGCCATACATACACCAATGGCTTTAATATTATTTTGCACTTTCCAGTGATGCAGAATGCAGCTGCAGTTGTGTTTCAAGGAGAAGCTGAGTGGGGATGGCCGTCCCTGCAGCTTGGTGCCACTTCTGGGCCCATGTGCATCCTCAGTAGACACTCTTGAGTGGTGAGGCCCTGATGTCACCTCTAGTTACCCTGTACTGTCCACAGCATTACAGTTTAGTGTGCTCTCTTAAGTCAGAAGCCCCCTGGGCTATGCTGAACAGCTTTTGAGCCTTGCCATTATTGTAATATTGGCTGAATCCCTAAGGAAAAAACTCTCCAAAGCAACAAACAAAAATACTAGTTTAACTGGCACTGTGGTCTATTAAAAGGCACAAGAACAGTGTGTTTTAACATTTTGCTGGCTCCCATGGTGTTAAAGAAGGGATCCAGTAGAAATGCCAAAATTAGGTTTCCGAGTAATCACTTATGTCATTTGGCCAGGATTTTCTAATTCTTTACTGTTGGGATATTGTGCACTGCTGTCCTTCAGAGCCTTCATTTGTAGGCGAGAGCTCTGTGTGATTATTTATCTCCTAAGTGACCTGGAAGGCACTTGGTGTCTGTAAGCTGGGCTATGCTCGTTACCGCAGCCATGGTGTCCTGGAAATTCACCCAGTGGTGTTGACCTCACATAAGCCAGGCGCCCACTGTGGTATAGGAAGATAGTTCATGTGGCTCTAAGTTTTCCTCCATCATGAAGTTGGCCTTCAGAAAAGAAAAAATGACTTCTGAGCGCAGTGAGCCCACCCCAGGTGTCCGCACAGGGCGCTCAGGGGCTCGTCTGCTGCCTGGGTGGAGGGTGTTAAGACTTGAAATTTCACCATTGCCTTTTCCTCCCTCTTCCTCTTACCTGGCAGCAGGAATCCTGTGTCTTTCTGACTCTTAGAAGAGTCTGTGGCTTGTCTTTCATTATCGGGGAAAGAGGGGAGGGAGGAGGTATTCATCTTGGGATCAATTTGGCAGCTTTAATCTTGAGGTTAAAGTTTCAAGTGGGGTTGAAAAATCATCATTGTCTGTTCTTTTCACTGAGTTGCTATGGTCAAATCTGTAATAAAGTGTTTCACAGTGCTTCCAAACTAGGTGGGAAGAGTGCTCTGTGTTGATGCGTTCCATTGTAAATGCACCTAAACACCAAAGCATGGCCACCAAGGGGGCTGTCACTGCCACTGTCATGCTGTCTGCAGCAAGACCTGCCAGTTTGAGGGCTTCTTCACTTTTAAATAATTACCAGGCTGAACTCTGTGACTAAAAATCTTCACATTAACCATATTTTATAAAAGGTCCGACTACAGTCACTAGTTAACCTAAACCTTAGTGCACAAAGAACTGAACCACGAGAGTTCCACGCCAGCGTTTGCCTCCTGGTCTCCACTGGGGAACACAGACTGTCGGTAGAACATGTCCAGTTCACAGGCGTGGGCTCCCCTTTGCACACTAGACACCGCTGCGGCACTTGGGAATAATAGGCCCCGTCAGGTCTGCGAGCCTCCTCTTCCTCACTGCAAAGGAACGGGAGAGAGATGTGAGCCAGCTGTCCCTGCCTGTCCACTCAGTCCAAGTCTGCTCTTTACTGACAGTGACAAGAAGGCCGTAGTTTGTTCCTGCTTACTAATGATAGTCTGTGGTAGGGTGGACACAGCCTCACGTCTCTTCTATATGGCTGACCACACATTCCCTCCCTCTGTCTCTCTCTGTGTCTCTGTCTCTATCTCTCTCTCTCACGCACGCACACACACACACTTTTGCCTTTGCCTACAGGGGCTTCACAGTTGAAGAATGTATCTGAGCAAAGTTAACTTTAGCCTGTCTTAAGACTGGGGTCATAGTCTGCTGAATATGTTCCCTTTGCTCCTGGGAGTGCGTGGCCTGCCTCCTGCCTATGTCAGTACCCGAAAACTGCCTGCAGTTATCATGCCCCCTCACGTTTTAACAGTGACATTTATTTCCCCAGGAGCAAGACAACTCATGCTCAAAAGCTGTCCATATAGTCTCTAGAGTCAAACCTATAGAGAGGGAAGTATGAGCCAGGAGGTTGCAGACAGGAGGTGCGAGCTTAGCGGATGGCTAGGGCCAAAGTGACCCCTTTGCTGTAATGAGAGGGAACATAGTATTGGCAGATGAGGACTAAGGAGCAAGCTGTATTCACTGCAAGAGAACACGGGTCAGGGAAGGCCGGAGAGGAGCAGATTACGATAAGGGGCCTGCTGACGTGGCAGGGGCAGGTGACCATTTGCTACCTGTTTAGTCAGTCTAAGACGGCTTCCAGTTTCCAAGCTGAGGTGGATGTGCAGCCAGCAGCTCAGAGCCCATGAGCTGTAGCCCCATAGTCAGCCAGTACACGACTCACATGGAACACCTGCGTCAGTGTGGCTGAGAGCTGGAGGGTGGTCCCAGGCTCACAGGTGCTCAGTGGCCCTATGAATTCCCCTCATCCCAGGTCAGAAGGAGGAATGCAGACCAGGGTAGGTAGGCCATCTGAAAGGAAGACATCGTCCTCCTGAAGGTGACTGACTAAAAGTGTCAGTTTGGGAATCTGTACAGGAACAGAAACCAAAATCCAAAGAACAGAAGCAGTTTGTCCAAATGTGCAGTTTCTACAAATGAGCCTATGACCGCACATTAGCTGTGCAAGCATGCCCGTCAGTGCTCCTTACCTATTCATACCTATAGCATGTAGTCACCCACTGACTGTAGTCAGGAGATGTGGAACCAAGATTTGAACAGAAGCCACCCAAAGGCTCTGGACTGTCCGTGTTATCATTTCCATTTCCCTGAAGAGGAAATGGTAGCGAAGATATGTTTGCTTAAAGCCAGAGAGCTAGTGATAAACTGTGTGGTAGCACACCCCTGTACTCCTAGCACTTGGGAGGTGGAAGTAAGAGCGTCAAGAGTTCAGTGTTAGTCTCTGCAACATAGCAAGTTCAAGACCAGCTCTGCTCAAACAAACAAAATAACAAAGCTAGAACCAGAGGGATCCAAGACGTGTAACTCCTCTTGAGCCTCAGCCGAGTATCTCTCTCAGTTTGGCCACATGTCTGTGTCTCATCCTCGCATCATCAGCTCTCCCCCTTGAAGAACGCATGGCCCTTTCTGCAGAGTTAGGCCTGCAACCTCAGTCACGGCCTTTGATGGAAAGTGCTAAAGGAGGCCAGTTGGGGGGAGGTTGGGGCTGGGAGAGGGGAAACTCCCGTCACTCTTCCTCATTGTGTATATGAGGCTAGATCTGAGTGCATGGCCCCTAAGAACTGGCTTTCACAGAAAGGGATGCCCATTTATTCAGGTGTTGTCTCCCCATTTTGATGAAGGACCAAGGAAAGTCACCCACCATAAAACCTCCAGCAAGTGACATGGAATAGAAGCCAGGTCTCTAACTCAACATCCGTGTTGCTTTCTTTAGAAAAAAAAAAAAAAATCCATTGCTCACCGTGGCAACCGCCACAGGCTCCCTTGCTTATTGGCAGAGCCAGAGGGGATCTCCAGGCATCAAGCCCCACCTCCCTCCACTGCTTGTGACCAGATGAATCTTTATACCATGTCGTGGCGCACTCCACTCGTTTGTGTAAGTCGGTGTTTGCCTGGTACTTTGTGCCATGCACAGGAATCAAGGATAAAGATAGACTACCTCAGAGGCCAAAATGGAGCAACAGCAACCTTGACAAGGGATTCCAGATGCCCTGGCAGACCTCTGAGATGTAAGAGGCATGTGGATGAAGCGGCCTACTCTTCCTCGGAGGGGCAGGAACTAGGTCAGCTAAATCGTAAAGGGAGAAGGAATGAAGAATGGTACAACAGGCAAGCCTTGACTGTAGATCAGCATGTTGATGGGTCATTTCTGGGGCCACTCAGACTTCCTGGAATGGATGGTTAGCCTAGCAAGAAGGTGGCTTGTCAGGATGTCTTCAGGAGCCCTCTCTGGATGATGCAAAATATAGGGCTCTGGAAAGAGACTTCTGTTCTGCCAGTGGTGACTTCCCACCACAGGCCCGGATTTTTACTAAAAAGTGGGGATAATATAACAGGTGGTGGCCAGGCAGATGGCTGAAGTTAGTAGTACAGGGGGTGTTGAGAACAGAGCCTGGTGTATCACAGTCTGTACCATGTTTCTGTCAAGGGGTGTGGAAACCACCTGGAGAAGCTGAGCCTGAGCAAGGGGAGCTGGCAAGGCATCCAAGCAGTGAGTGGAGGAGGAGCCAGCTTTGGGAAGAGTGCTGCTGGGAGGCAGCCATCTGAAGGAGCTGGAAGTCAAGGAAGCTGGGGGGGAACATGGCAGGTTGGGAGTGGCAGAGGTGACTGGCTGACAGGAGTCGGGGCAGCATCTAGGCATTACCCAGGGGTGTACAAGGGATAGCTAGAGGGAAAGTAGTCCTTACCCTGAATGGTTCAGGCTAAGAAGCTGGTCTGAGATCCAGCAGGTCCACAGTCACGCATTATTATTACCCCAAAGATACAAAATCAGTGTATCACAGAGGTGTCTGCGGCACTGCTCACAGTTGCAAAGATAAGGAGTCAACTGTTAACAGATGAACGGGCAAACAAAATACGGGATCTATGCGTGACACCGTCTGACCTCAGAGAACACCAAAACTCTGCCATCTGCCACAGCGTGAGAGTATCATGGCAGGTGGAACAGTCAGATACAGGAAAACAGATCCTCGCATCTTCACCTACTCATGGACTCTGAAGAAATCCAGCAGCAGAAGCCACCAGTAAGAACAGTGGATGCAGAAGTTGGATGGTGGGGGGGAGGGAAGGGGGATGGTGGTGTCAAAGGTCAAAATCTCAGGAGGAGTCACATGGGCGTTTGCCCCCTTTGAGACCTTCACACAATATATTAAGTAGTTACTGACAGTGCGTTGAACATTTCAAGACTGAAAGTACACCTCAACTGATTTCATCACAGAAAAAAACATCAAGGTGACAGATGTGCTAACTTGATATAATTATTCCACTTTTAAATCTTGAACTAAAACATGTACCTCATAAATATATTCAATCATAACTTGTTAATTGATAGAAGCTGACGTGCTGGTAAGAAAGGCGCTGAGAATGGTAAAGGAAGACGATCTGCTTATGAATGTTCTCTGCTCAAGCCCTCCACCACTGCCTAACCCGAAGGCTGTGGTTGGGATTTTGTTAAGAGTGTGCTGGTGGCAGGTTCAGAGGACCCGAGAGCCACCCTTACCCTGGCCTGGGCTATAAATAGCATGGGGACAGGAGTCATCTGAGGCTCTGTGGCAGGGAGACACGGATAGGTGACAGCTCAGCTCTGTCCCTTAACCGTACCCTGGTGTTACGTATGCACCCACAGAACAGTTTGCTAAGAGCACTAGAGCTCTGGGTGGGAAAGAACAAAAGATGCAGCCAGGTAGGCCATCTGCAGGCACGGCCCACATGCAGGCCTTCAGAGGCCCCAGCCCCCAGGCCACTGGCCAGCCCCCAGGCAAGCAGGAAGGTCATGGGAGAGGCCTTCTCTCTTCCCGTGTGTGCTCTAGCACAGCACTGCTGATAACCACAGTACCAAGGAGATCAGCAGGAGGAGCTCCTGCGAAGACAGGGGAGCCTGCCTGCTTTTCCACAGCAGCGGGGGGGGGGGGGGGGGGGTGTTCCAGGAGGCTGGAAGGACGGCAGGCATTTTTCTTTTGCAGGAAGAAACCGATTGTACTAGTTAGAACCCAAAGTGGTTCTCATAATGAAAATTAACACATGGGCACATATTTGCTTTTCAAACCGGAAGTCATACATCATTGCCTTGCACTGTGAATGTGGCCCGTGTCACTGAGATGATGCTCCTGTGAGAAATGAAGGGAGCAGCCATACACAGCTGAGGTACCCAGAGGCCACTGTCATCATTTCATCCTGGCATCCCTGTTCAACAAACTGCATGGTCCCTACTCCCCACCTGCCTTTACTGAAGTTTATTTGGGTTACATGTCTCAAGTTCCAATCACTGAGGGAAGCCAAAGCAGGGACTCAAGCTAACAACCTGTAAGCAGGAACTAAAGCGGAGGCAACGGAGGAACACTGCTTACTGGCTTGCTCCCCTGGCTTGCATAGATAGCTACCTCTCCTATACAACCGAGGACCACCTGCCCAGGGTGGCACAGCCTTCAGTAAGCTAGGTGACAGTGACAGCCCCTCTCAAAGATCATTAATTAAGAAAATGCTCGCCTGTAAGCCAATCTGATGGAGGCAACTCCATGGTTGACATTCCCTCCTGCCAGACAACTTTAGTTTATGTCAAGTTGACACGAGAACTAAAAAGATAACCATCCTGTAAGTCCATGTCCTCTCTCCACCACCTTCCGCCCAGGAAAGCTGTACCCCACTCCTTCCTATAGCTCCTGCAGGGTCAGCTCCTGACCTTCTCTGTCAGCCTATCTCTCCCTTTCAAGGCTGGCAAAGACCCTTCTCTCCAGGATGGCCTTGCTCAGCTGGCTCCTGTTCTCCTAAATCACTTCCTCGTGTTGTTTGGACAGAGCGTGTAGGCATTCTTGAGTTTTTAAAGCATGCCTTTGAGTCTTTTCCCCTAAAAGGTGGCAAGGCTTCTTACACCCAAGAACTAGCCTTTCTGTCATTCCAGGTCCCCCAGCACAGCCAGGTCACACAGCAAGGTTTCTCAGAAAAGTGACTAACAACGGCTGTGATCTGAGCCCTGGTCTCCAACCACTCCAGGCTTTAATCTCAAGTAGGGAAGTAGAGAGCGAGCCTGCAATCCCATCAGCTCCAGCTTTGAAGCTCCCACAGCAGCCTTCAGGAGTTCTTGTGATGGCAGTCGGGTCTGTGGCCTGGAGGCTGAGTCTCAGAACTTTCCTGTGTCATCCAGAAAGATTCTGGTATACCCCTACAGTGCCCCTGATGGCTCATTTGAGAACTCTCATCTGCCAAGGAAGGAACTCTGTGTGTGATTCCAGGAAACACAAGCCAGATTAGCTGTGAGATGGTGGGCATTCGGACCATGTCAAATGCTTCAGCTATAACTTGGGGAAATCTCAGGGTGTTTAAGTGTCGGTTCATCCCCAGATCCCAACTGGGCCTGCAATACTCTGATGGCCTCATCCAGGGATGCAGATGAACCATCACGTCTGTGCTGTGGTAAGAATTTTGCATCTTTTCCTTTCTCATTCCCCGGCCATCTTGGCGGCTGATCTTGGTTGGGGATTGTCCCGCACCTAAGGCAGGAAGATGGTTGCCGCAAAGAAGACGAAAAAGTCTCTGGAGTCAATCCAGCTTGTTATGAAAAGTGGAAAGTATGTTCTGGGATACAAACAGACTCTGAAGATGATCAGACAAGGCAAAGCGAAATTGGTTATTCTCGCCAACAACTGCCCAGCTCTGAGAAAATCTGAAATAGAATACTGTGCCATGTTGGCTAAAACTGGTGTCCATCACTACAGCGGCAATAATATTGAATTGGGCACAGCGTGTGGAAAATACTACAGAGTATGCACACTGGCTATCATTGACCCAGGTGATTCTGATATTATTAGAAGCATGCCGGAACAGACTGGTGAAAAGTGAACCAGGAAAGTTTTCCTTTATAAAACTTTACCAGAGCTCCTTTAAAAAAAAAAAAAAAGAAAGAAAGAAAAAAAGAAAGAATTTTGCATCTTATTTATGTTTGACTTTTTTGTTTCAAACAATGGCACCTTGAATAACCCAAGACAGAGGTTTGTTTTTCTAGACTCAAAGCTCTAGATAATTGGCCTGTGAAGTGAGTGATGAACAAACAGCCCTCGGGCTATGCTCAAGAGCAGAAGCTGGTGTCCCTAGCACCCTGACCTTAGCACTCTGACAAATGGCTTCTGTAATTGAAACATTTGATTGGAAGTCCCAGTTCCAGGTGGGAGTCTGGGAGTGCCTGCCTTTCCTGTGTGCAGACTCAACCTCATTTTCCATGGGCATCTGCCAACCTTGGGCCATCATCTGAGCCCACGCTTCAGGGCTAGACTCTCCATTTTGCAGAAGGTTGGAAGCTAGGGAGAACCCTGTGTAGAGCTGGTGAGGATTTGATGAAAACCTTGTTTGTCTTGGCTTCATGGCCCTCGGGGTAAATGTCACGGTCAATCAAGTTAGCAGTGGAGACCTGCTTCATGTCTTGGCTTTCCTTCTGACTCTCCTACAGCCTTGTCAGTTGCACTGCCTTCATTTCACACCATATCTGTCTCTCCTTAGCATCACCAGGAACACATAATAAGCAGGCCTTGTGAACATTGTGCGTATGGGAGCGAGTGGATGACTGACACTGCCTTTCGTTCGTTGACTAGCACGTGCATTTGGCAGAGCTCAGCATCAAGGGGGACTATTCTCTCTTTTTCTGTTTAGAAAAGGGGGTCAGAGGATACCTTCAGTGGAGACAGGGGAAATATAACCTGCTTTTATATTTCATTTATTATTTATGTGTGCGCATGTGGAGTTCAAAGGACAACTTTGCAGGTGCTAGGAATTGAACCCAGTTCACCAAAGCTTATTCAGTGAGCACATTTCCTGAGCCATCCTGCTGCCCTGCATTTACGTTTCTATGAACCGCATATTTCTGACTTTTCCTTGGGAGCCATGTGGAGTCTCCTGGGCTGCAGTTTTTGATGATGGGTGAGACTGATGAGTGATGATTTGGTGATGGGTGAGAGCTTTGCGATTTTGAGCAGAAAAATCAGCTTGACCTAGAGAAGGGTCTTCTGAAAGGGAGTAGACCAGGGATAAGCCTGTGCGCTCCCAAATTTCATTTCCTCTCGTGACATGCTGAAGTGAGCTCTTGGGCCAAGCCTGTGCTGAGCTGGGCTGGGGGGGGAAAGACATTCATCCTTGGTCCTGAAGGCAGGCAGGTTACGGACATGGGGGAGACATGCATAAACACAGAACAAGATGTGATACCCCTAAAAGTCAAGAGTTTGATCCCATCATAAACCTCTCCTGGAGTTGGGGGGGTGTTATTTGTAGGATTTCTCCTGATGTATCTTGCAAAGTGCTGGGAAGAATGGGAAGATAAGCAGGCAGAATGCAGGCATGCACTCACCAAGGTCATTGTTGTTCATCATGGCATTGGAGGCCCGCAGCCGGGGCCCCTGCTGGGTAAAGTGGTAGCCAAATTTGAGTAGCGTTGTGTTTTTCTCCAACATGTTCACAATCTCCATTTCCACTTTGTTGCCCAAGGGCTGGCTCTTTGGTTTTTGAAAAAGAAAAAATAAAATACCAATAATTACATGTGCTTTATAAAAGCTACCTCTCCACACAGAAGCCCTGAGGGCTGTGTGGGGATGTTATGTGCTCTCTAAGAGTGAAGCTATGTAGAGAAGCTGACATAGAAACAGTGTTATACAGCATGCTTAAAGATGAAAAGTTTCCCCCAGGGTCAGAAAAATGCCGCCACGTCTCCTTTTAGCATCAGTGGTCTAGAGGTTCTGGCCAAGAAAATTCAGCAAGAAAATAAAGACATTTAAACTAAAAAGGAGGGTGTATATTAAGATCATATAATATTGAACCTAAGGAGCATGCGTGCACACACACACACACACACACACACACACACACACACACACACCACACGCTAGTGCTGACTAGTTCAGCACTCTTCTAGAAGAGCAATAAACAAAAGCCATCTGCATCTCTACACAGTAGGAATAAGCACCTAAAATAGTCCCTTTATAATAATGTCAAAAGGAACAAAATACAGAGGATGACGTTGACAGGAAGAAGACAGTGAAAACCACAAGGCAGCATTGAATGTCATCAAAGAAAACCCATGATGTGTAACAGCCCATGTCCATGGGCCAGAAACCTATTACTGCCAGTGAGGTGATGCCACCAAACTGACCTGTGACATCAATAGGATCCTTGTCAAAATGTCAACATCCCCCCCCCCACCCCAGGAAATGGACAAAGTAATTTAGAAGTCACACTTCAATGCAAGTGACCTCAGAATAGTCAAGGCAATGTTAGAGGACTCCAACTCTCAGATCCCAAAGCGACTCCAAAGCTGTGGAGGACTCGTTAGGACTCTGTGGTGCTGCTGTGAGGCCGACCTGATGCTGAAGAGGGTCCAGACACAAGCACACACACCTATCCGGACTGCTTCACAAAGGGGCACTGAGAAAACTCAGTGAAGCCATGTGATGACACAAGCAAAAAAAAAAGAAAGAATTTGACCTTTGACTCTCGACACACACAAATACTAATTCAAATGGTTCAAACTGGGCTCAGTTTTTTTGAGGAGGTGGCTCAGTGGAATAGAGTGCTTGCTGTACAGACACAAGGGGCCAAGTACAGATCCCAGCACCCATGTAACCAGCCAGCCATGCCCATGTGTGCCTGTAACTCCAGCACTGGGTGGTGCATGGGGACAGGACCCTCCTGTCCCAAGGGAACAAAGCAGAGGGTGATAGAGGAGGACACACAAAGGCCTCCTCTGCCCATGGATCAAAGACCTAATGATAAGAACTAACACTATAAAATAAAACCCAGGTGCAAATGATTGTGACCTTAGCAATGGTTTTTTTAGAAATGACACTTATTGCACAAGCAACAGAAGACTAAAATAAATAAATTGGATTTCACCAACATGTAAATTGTTTATGCTTATAGAACACTATCAAGAAAGTGTCCTTCCACACCCATGCAAGGAACTCTAGCTAAGCCCAGTGGGTCACACACCGAAGAGACATGAAGGTAGAAGGGTGTCATGTTGAAAAAAAAATATTCCAGTGGGGGACACAGGTGGATAAGCAGGGAGAAGTAAAAACAACTAAAATTCAGCATAAATATATACAAGACTGTCAAATGATTTTAAAATGTGTGTGTGTGTGTGTGTGTGTGTGTGTGTGTGTGTGTGTGTGTGTTAAAAATGCAGCCTGGGAAGATGCCTTTGCATGTGAAGTCTTTGCTGTACAAACATGAATTCAGATCTCAAGCTGTAAAGGCCGCACATAGCAGGGAGCATGCGCAGAACCCCAGTGCTGAGTGAGGCACAGAAACCAGCAGATCCTGAAAGTTCACAGGTCAGCCACTCTAGCCAAAGCAATGTCACCAGATTCAATGGAAAACCCTGTCTCAGAGATACAGAGCAATAGAGAGACAGCCGATACTGACTTCTGGGTCCACACATACATGCGTGAGCAGATGCTCTGACATATACACGTGCACGCACACACACCACACACACATGAGGGGGGCAGAGAAGAGAACATGGAATTGAAAAAGTTGTAAATCTATAGTATAGCTGGTAAGGACTCGTATCCAGAATATATAAAGAAGATGCAAATAAATGAATTAGAAGTGGACAAAGTATTGGAACAGAAATTTCTTAAAGAAGATGAACAAGGCCTGGAGAGACGGTTCCGTGGTTAAGTGCCTGGCTGCTCTTCCAGGGGACCTGGGCTCAGTCCCCAGCACCTACATGGTCTCTCACAACTGCCTGGAACTCCAGTCCTCGGGGACCCAATGCCCTCTGGCCTCCATGGGTACCAGGTATGCATATGTGTTTGTGTGTGTATGTATATGTATATATGTATATAGACATTGAGAGTTCATGTGCAAAGGGACTTTCCAGCGAGGGAGGAGAGCCCTTGTCTCTGGAAGCATCTAAGAGTAGCTTTCTAGAGTCTTCCTCAGCATCATTAGCAGGGAAAGCCTAGGGCTCCATGACCTCTACAACTTCATGGGGCTGCGGACTATGACCCTAAGAATAGCTTGCTTGGGTGGCATAAAAACATCAGGAGAGTGACCTCAGACCTTGACAGTGGGCGAAAGGCAGTAAGAAGCCCCAAGGGAGAGGGCTGGGCTGGGTTGCCAGGGCTGTGTTGGCAGAGTTTGGCCAGCCAAGGACTCTGGCCTCCTTTCAGGTTTACCGGAGGATTAAATAAATCACTTGTGGATAAATATAATCTTGTCTTAAACATTCAGATGATTGGAGGGAGAGAAGTGAAGAGTCTTCCTCCATACCACCCTCCTTCCCATAGTCTGCCCCACAGATGTACCTCACCCCCACCCCCCACACACATACCATGGCCAGTGGCTACTCTTCTGAGCATAGGACACAGGGCAGAAATAGACAAGACTGGGTTGTTTTGCTGCTCTTTTCCCCTTAAATAGATTCATATATTTATTTTCCACAACTTCTTGTTCTGTTCACTATTACATAGGGGTCTTTCCAAGATAGTGCGAGAGAAGTACAGCTTTGCTTTTTAACTGCTTCTTGAGATGCCCTGAGATGTTGTGGTGTAGACAGCTGACTGTGTCCATGCCTCACGCCACAAGTGGCAGTACAGTGGACTTTAGTGGGGAAGAGAGACTATTCTACCATCAGCTTATAGTCGTTGGGTTGAGAGAGAGGCACACTTTGAATTGGCATTGTGGCATACACAGTGGGCACGCCCTTGGATGTCATGTAGGAGCTCTTGTCCTCACATGATCACAGTGACTGAGGGCTTTCAACCTGATGAGACTATGACAAATACCTCCGGTGTTGGGATCTACGATGTGGAATTGGTGGCCGAGACCCTGGACATTGGGCCATTCACTTTCCTCATTTGACAGGCCGCTTTAGTGTGACCTAGATATGTGCGACTAGAGCATTTGAAAATACATCATAATGCCAGGTGTGGTGGCTCACATCTTTAATCCCAACACTCAGGAGGCAGAAGTGAGCCATGTCTGTGAGTTAGAGGCCATTGTGGTCTACATAGTGAATTTCAGGACAGCTAGAACTAGACAGTGAGATCCTGTCTCAAAAACCAAAAGAAGAAAGAAAATAGGAAGGAAGGAAGGAAGGAAGGAAGGAAGGAAGGAAGGAAGGAAGGAAGGAGGGAAGAAGGAGGCAGGGAGGGAGGAAGGAAGGAAGAAAGGAAGGAAGGAAGGAGGGAAGAAGGAGGGAGGGAGGGAGGAAGGAAGGAAGGAAGGAAGGAAGGAAGGAGGAAGGAGGAAGGAGGGAGGGAGGGAGGGAGGGAGGGAGGAAGGAAGGAAGGAAGGAAGGAGGAAGGAGGGAGGGAGGGAGGGAGGAAGGAAGGAAGGAAGGAAGGAAGGAAGGAAGGAAGGAAGGAAGGAAGGAAGAAAGGAGGAGGGAGGGAGGGAGGGAGGGAGGGAGGGAGGGAGGAAGGAAGGAAGGAAGGAAGGAAGGAAGAAAAAAGAGAAAGAGATTATTAGGAAGGTGTCCTGGAGTATCTTGGCCAACACCGGAGTTATTATGCCACTTCTGTCATCAATGACCCTCTGTTGTAAGCTGCCAAGTCTTCTGCTCCACTGGCACACCTCTCGGGAGAAAGCTCACCACCCGAGAGACACCTGCTTTGTCCTTCCTGGGCTAGCTCTGCTGGTTAGAAAGCTTTCTTACCAAAGCGCTACAAGACAAAACAGTACAGAGGACGCTTATGACAGTGACTTAAAGCAGTCTGCAGAGAGAAGTGGGGAGGGATAACCAACGTTGAGTATATTTTGACAAAAATCACATGATAATGCTTGTTCCAGAAGCCATAGTTGCCAAATAAAAAGTCAAGTACCAGACCGAAGTACCTACCCTTGAGTTTTTTGTCCAGGGGTGTCTCAGAGATGTCCCCCAAACAATACAGGGCATTGCTATTGTTATGTTGTGCAGGCAATTTTAATGGCCTACCCTTAGGTACCTTAGGGACCTGACAGCATCCTATGTCAGTACCTGCATCCTATGACATCATCTGGGCCAGGTACTTCAGGTATAACAGGTAGTCTGCCCCCCCCCTTACTTGCACTCTCTCTGCCTTGCTTTCTTTCCTGCTCCCCCCACTATCTTTCTCTCTTCCCATCTCCATCCAATAAACTCTTTCATATCATGTCTGTTGTATATGTGTGGCATCATTTGTAAGTACTAACATTGGTGTGTTGGGCCGGGAAGGGCTCTCCTGGTAATGTCTGGTCTGCTCACGCCAGCACCTCTTACACTGAAGCACACTGCCCGCAACAGATTTGTCTTCTGTTCCCCTGTCACTAACTGCCGATCGACCACACACGCCTGGAACCTGCACCTTCATTTGCTCTGCCTTTCGCCTGTCCCTACCTGCCCCTGCTGCTGGTGCATCTGTCTCTCTTCCTGCAGCTGCTCAGAAGGGCATGGCCCACAACAGATCTTTTCCTTGCCGGCACCCTCGTCTGCTCTGGCTATGCTTGCCTGCCGGCCACTGCCCACAGGAATGTC